AGTGTGCTCCTAATCTCAGCTCGTTACCTGTATAAAAGACACCTGGGAGCCAGAAATCTTTCTGATTGAGAGGGGGTCAAATACTCATTTCCCTCATTAAAATGCAAATCAATTTATAACATTTTTGACATGCGTTTTTCTGGATTTTTTTTATTGTTATTCTGTCTCTCAATGTTCAAATAAACCTAACATTTAAATTATAGACTGATCATTTCTTTGTCAGTGGGCAAACGTACAAAATCAGTAGGGGATCAAATACTTTTTTCCCTCACTGTACATCCTTAACAAAATGCCAGGGGACTCATCGAAGTTAATTTGCCCATGAAACTGCCACACAAAGGGTTGCTCTAAGAGTGGATGTTATGGAGTTGCTTTTTTTTTAAACACCAGCAGAAAAGCGCAGAGTAGCTTGGCCTCACCTGCATCAATGGGCACATCGCGTTGTTTATTTTGGACCTCGTGACTGAAAAGTGTTATCATGGAAAATCTAGGAGAAATTTCTATTGTGCCTTTTATTCCTCAGCCTCAGGAAGAGTTTACGCCACCTCTAGACTGAGATTAATTATTCAAAAGTTGATTCGGCTAAAGGTTGCGAGGATATTTATGAAGCCACCTTCATTTGTAGAGAATATACTTTCTATTTCTCTGTTCGTTTATTTTGTCCTGTTGAAAGCCTAATCTTGCTTGACTGACCCATTATAAAAGTGGACCTTTGGGATTCCTATAACCTACAACTTTTGGTGATATTCATATGGCACTGTGATCATGATTATTTGAGTGAGTTAAGTATTCCTGCTCTTTTGACTTCACATCAGAACGTTAAAGAAGGATAACCAGTAGTGTGTCTTCGGTAAGTTGTGCCCACGTCAGTGAGAAATCTTTCCTGATGTATAATAAAATACAAGAACATAAATATTATAATAATAACAAACAACATATAGTGGTATACACTTATCTTTATCTGATTTTCAGTAAAAACCTGCACACTTTAAATGATGGGTTTTGCTTCGAGCACCATAGGTGATATGAATTGCTGCCTGTGATATTTTTGTAAGTGAAGATGTGCCTTTGTTATGCAGTGACATATTGAGGTAAATAAAAACTAAAGTTCGTAACATGCTTTTGAAAGTAGTAAACACAAATTTACTCTTGAATTGCCAAGGAAGAGTGTCTCCTTATAGTCTACAGAGCCAATCTATTAGTTCTGTTGTTAAATTAACCAGTTGACCATCGTGCATGCTTGGAATGCTCCATATGTATTGATTTGCCTTGACTTGCATTGAAGAAATTACTAAACCTCCACTTTATCTTTAAAATATTTACATTCTAGAAAGTGGATTTATTTTGACATGCAGTGTTTCTCTTTGCATCATACTCAGCTCCACACTTTGAAAAGACATTGAAACTGAAGTCTGACATTCACCCATACAATAAACACTCCCCATAAAGCGTACATAGACTTTTGCAGCAAACTCTATTAGCGAGCACCTATTAAGGCTGGCACAGCACACTGGAGCGTGTAGCCAGCATGACACCCAACCGCCTCTGTCTCCCCAGATAATGATGTTACATTTAACTTTGCAGAATTACCTGTAAATATTTTATGCAATTAATTCCTGAACGATTTTTGGACTTGATAATCTGAAGACGGATTCCTATTTTGAGTGCAGAATTTGGGAAAGTGCAGTAAATATAATAAAGATGGCAATGACAATTATTGAGAGGTTACGTGCGTACGTGCGTGTGTGTGTGTAGTGCCTTGGGAATAAGTATACATGGTAAAGAAAAAAACGTTGGAGCATCCGATGACTGTTTCAAGCACATCTGTGACAATTTGCACCGCAGTTATAAATTATTTTATTTTTGGCAGCAACACACTTCCTACCACAAACCACTTTGTGCGCGCAAAGCTCTCTGCGGCAGGTTGGCCGAGTGTTCGCCCGCAGGACGTGTGGTTGAGGCCGCGTCGATCAATAACCCCCCATTTAACAGGCAATTAATTTGAACGCTAATGCGTGCGGTCGGAAGAGTGGGTCTTCGACTTTATATGGATGTGGACAAAACTTGCAGGCTGTGCGCTTAGACCCAGGGGCGAGAAATAAAAAAAAGCCTCCACCGCTTACACTCATCCGTAAACGTTGAAACAGCAGAGCGATCTGTTACTTCTAATGGCAAATTTGTTACCGCAGAGTGATCTGTAACGTCTCTTGAACAACAAAGTCATTCAAGACACCGTGGTCACCTTCAATTAAGTGGTGTGAGCTCAGACTTGGCTTCTACACCAATATAACAAAAAGCCATTTCAATCAGTGCCAGTGCATTCAGTAGCACTGGCAATAACACTGATGCTCATTTTCCTATCTCATTTTTCGAGGGTCATTTGGCTAATGCTGCTGCCCTCTGTACACTTGCATGCCTTTCCTAATTTTGTTCATGAGAACGGTCCACTCAGCTTGTATTCCTGCAAGGTTGTCCTTAACAAGACTAGTACTGGCCAAAGGCTTTACATTTCTGCAGTAAAGAGAACACTAATTGGCTCGAGTTCCTTACAGAGTCCCGTTATCGCACTTAAGGGGGGCCCTTTCCAGACTTTCATTACATGTACCTCAAAAGTGCCACCGTGCCTTTATCAAGAAGCAGTGTGTGGTTTTGTACGACAAAGGCCTTGCATACACACCAGGTATCGTATACTATTCGTATGGTCTGTCTCACTCAAGAGTAAAAATCAGGGTCTTTATGGGGGAATTTCAAGCAATTACATGTTTTTATTTACTTATTTGGTTACTTAAATAAATGTGTGCTCATACAAACAATTTGAGTGACCATGTTTCCCCATATATATCAAGTGCATCACAGCGATTTGGAAATGTACATTTAACAGATAAACTGAAATACTACCGATAAGGTTGTTTTGTCCAAACATATCTGTGGTTTGCTGTTTAAGTCACTGGCTGTGGCTTAAAAAGTAAAGATAAATGCTCAAACCATTTGGCACAAGTGTGCGCAAAATATAATCATATGGTAATGGAAAAGCCACAGAGGCACAAATCACATTCATTGACTTTTATCCAGGATTTTGCCAAGCTTTACCCAGGCATGTGTGGAGCCTACGGGTGTGTTTAAAATAACACACTGAGCTTATCGGAAGCATAATTGATAGGATGGAAATGTATTCCCCCAAAAATGTCAGATGAGCTCTGCCATCTGTAGTGTTCCGTGAAGGAACTCGGTGCCACCTGCGTAATCTAGAAACTAACAAAAATTACTCATGATGAGGGAGTCCTTTTTCTAAGTCTCATGATAATGTCCTCACTGACTCCCTAAAATGTGTGTACCTACTCGTTGTTTGTTCATTTTCCATGCCCTATCAAGTGTCTTGCTTTGTCTTTGGGTTCTTAGGAGTCTCTTAGCTTGGCTATGAAATCTGGATTTTTTAGAAATTAATATTATCTTGAAATGTGATCTTTGACTACTAGTTTTGAACTGCATGATGGTCAGTAACAAGGAAAACCATGACATTTCTAACTGCTGGTTGATGTTTTTGATTTACACATACATTTAAGTGTTTATCAGAAAGATAATGAGGCCACTGATTTGGCCACACTGATTCCAAAAGTCATACAATGCATTGTCAATGTTTTGTCACATGTTTGATTACATGACATTAAGTATGAAGCAATTTACAGTCATATTCAGTGGAGGGGTGGGGAGGGGGGGGAGGACCAGTCACGTTAATTTTTAACGTAAAAAATCTCCTTGACCTGTGACCCCCCGCAGGACCTGTCACTCGTGAAGCGAGAAGAGGGAGCTCGCGCATGTGCACGTCTGGTCTCCACGCTGCGCGCGTCGGAACATACATCGGGACAGCAGATGCGCTTATTCTGTTCGCGAAATGCCCGTGTTTCCACGCGCCGCTCCATTTCACCCGATGCGGAGACGCATGCCGGGCGCGGCGGGGGGAGGGGGGAGCTCATATTTTAATGACGTCAGATCCCAAGATTGGCCCAAAAGACCCAAGAGTTGGGCCAAAACCGTTGGTTTCCATGGCCACGGGTGTCAAGGGAATCCGACTTGAACCAGAAATGCAGTGTCAGGTACATTTATCCCCATTGCCACGCCAGGGATGAATCGAGCCGATATTTTTCTGGGGGGTGGGGGATAGCGGGCGGAGGGGGGGGGGCAAGGTGGGGTTAGCCGACTTGAAACGCCTGAGCAACTTTCACTCAGAAAAAAAACACGTAAAAAGACCTGTCGCGTACGAGTGTAGGATTTCTTGGACCAGATAGGTAAGTTTTGCGAGCTGTCCTCACAATCCTGGAGTGAGAGACGTGAGGTAAAGGAGGTTTCAGATTATTTCAGACGATGCCAAAATTTGAAAAATTGGTCCCGATTTGAGCGCAATAGCTGTGTTTAAAATATATATATAGATTTAAAATCCAAGTGGATATCTTTAGATTTTTTAAATATACTGTTGTTTTATTTCAAAACATATCGTGCTTGCCCTTTTCATGGGATAGAGTTATTTTTAATATGAACCTACCATGATCTGAAATCAAATTTTATATCAACGTGTGAAAATAAACTGCTGCATTAAAATGTTAACTTTGCTCGGCAGAGTCTATGTGGAAGATCTAGGTTGCAAGATAATGCAATGGGAATGCTCAGAAGAAAGGTTTTGAAATGCACCTGATCTCATCGGATCTCATAAGTGCGGCAGGTTTGAGCTGGAATAGTTTGCTTGAATGGCCAGCCACCGAGCACAACAACGTAGTGCTGCAGGGCTACTGCAATGCAACACTGTCAACAGTTCCGCCAACATGCATTGTTGTACTGGAGTACACTCCCACATCCATGCTCCCCACATTCACTGACCAGCATGATCAAAGCACACCGGCAACCCGCACGGTGTGGGTGAGGTGCTCATCCAGTGGTGGATAGACAAAAGGGCTGTAACGTGCACGTGTACACGCGGCAGCGCAGGGCACTGTGTGCGCCACTACCTTGCATGTTGTGCAGGGGCAGCGCCAGGATTCCACTGGCCGCCGCTGCCGCCGCCGCAAGCCCCTGCATGTTGGCCAGGCTGGCGGCCGGGAGAGTGAGCACCACGCCCTGCTGAGGTCCCACCCCAACCGCCTGTCCCGCTGCACCGCCCAGCGCCGAGCCCACTCCCGCCATGCCGAAGGGCAGCAGAAGCGGGGACACCAGCTGAAAAGGGCACGCACGTGTTGAACTTCTTTCGCACCGTATGTAGCCAACCGTGCTGATCGGAGGTGCGGATGAATGTTTCTCACTGAAGAAATGTCCTCCATCAACATTGGTATGGGAGTGTGCTCTTTTGTTGGCTGAGCAGCTGAGCAGTTCTGAGGTACCTGTGGGCCTGTTGGCTGGGTTGCAGGAGGATACTGTCTGGAGGATGACGTCTCCTGCTCTGTCTCTCCTCCTTGGTTGGTGGTCGCTCCACAATCTGTTCAGTACAAAGAACACGATCACATGACAACCCACCAAAGGACACAACAAATATCACTGTAACTTATAAAGCTGTAATTGAATGCAAAGATTGGTGATTATCATGAATGTAGTGAGTCGCGATTTGATTCAGTGACCATCTCATTTGAAGTTTAATTGCTCTCATTTGTACACATTTGGTGAATTATTTTCAATAAAATTTGACGTAAGAATATAATTCGTACATAATGTGCATACACTGTGAACACTGTAATAGATTCTTGCACGCATAATTCAACGCACGTGTTGTGAGCATAGGAATCAACTGTCAGTGATAAATTGATGCATTATTACATGCCTGTCTTTTAATATTACAGTGCTAACTTTACTATAGTTTACATTTATTGTAATGTATATTGTATGCCTGTGTAATGCTATGAGCGCCAATAATCTGTAGTAAAAGCCTCTCCGACTCTCCGAGCAGTTTTTTTTTCAGAGAGCGTAAACGCAAACATACTTCAAAACGCATTGATGTGGCATTAAATTTATCATTTACATGCAAATGTACAACGATGATAACGTGTTTCATGATCAAATGAAGAAACAATATTTTTAATTGCGTGGAATACTTAAATGTGTTTTTTTTAATATATATAACATGACCTAAGCCAAATTTGAAATTTTGTTCGTAAACATTCCAGAGCAAAATACAATAATGCAAAAATGCAGCAAGGAACCCTAAACAATAAATCATCTGAAGAATACCTAACAACTAGCCAGGTTGAATTTTCAATCACTTTTGTGACCTGCAATGGTAGACGAGAGTACCTTGTTCAATTTATCACACTTTCCCAGCCTGTTCACTTAAACACTGAAAAAAACTAAACTTTCAATTCTTCTCTCCACCCACAAAAAAGCAGTCTAATGCTCCGTGAAATGGGGTGGCTTGTTAATGGACCCACTATCGAATTATTCATGTTTTCCAGGACTCATGTCAAGCCAACTTAAGTGTGTGCACTTTATTTTCTCCTCTGCTGACCAAGGGTTAAAACTAAATCAAAGCTGTTTCAAATGCAGTGACCATGCCGAAACAAAATGCAACGGTAAGACGGGAATTTTAGGTGCCAAATAATAATGAAAGAAAAAGACTGGAGGAATAGTGAAACAAAACTGTTTAAAGCTTAGCAGGCAAAAAAAAAACTTTTAAAGCAAGAATTGCTTGACAAGGCATTGCGAGTGCCAAGTTTTCACCGCAGGGTTAGGTAACGTGCCATGACTTCTTTGCGTTGCTGTACACATACAAAAAAGAGCGTAACATGAATGAAATGCAAATGGGAATCACAGTATATGTCATGCACGTTACAGATAACAGAGGTGTGCAACCAGGCAGAAAATTACCTGAGTCTTTATTCACATAGTAATGAACTTCGGTTGGAACCGATAATTTGTTTTAGCATTTTGGCCTGCAGTGCCTAAAAGTCGAACTTAAAATAGTGTTCGGTGTACTCAAGATATTTCTACAGGCAGTCCTCGACTTATGCGCACCCGCCTTATGAACACCCGCAGTTATGAATCAGCTTCCATGAAATATAAATACAATTTTAATTGACTTAAAAGGCAAATTCGCACCTGCAAACTGAACCGCGGGACAATGTTCTTCAGCAGAGCAATCCTCCGCGAGGTGTAACGAGTCAGCCTCGCGCTGGCAGTGTTTTTGCATGTGTGTGAAAGTGTGTGTGTGTTAGAGTGTATGTGAAGGTGTATGTGAGAGTGTATGTGAAAGTGAATGCGTGAAAGTGTGTGTGAAAGTGAGTGTGTGTGTGAAAGTGAGTGAGTGTGAAAGTGTGTGTGAAAGTGAGTGAGTGTGAAAGTGAGTGTGTGTGAAAGTGTGTGTGAAAGTATGTGTGTGAAAGTGAGTGAGTGTGAAAGTGAGTGTGTGTGAAAGTGTGTGTGAAAGTATGTGTCTGAAAGTGAGTGAGTGTGAAAGTGAGTGTGTGTGAAAGTGAGTGTGTGTGAAAGTGTGTGTGAAAGTATGTGTGAAAGTGAGTGAGTGGGAAAGTGAGTGTGTGAAAGTGTGTGTGAAAGTATGTGTGTGAAAGTGAGTATGTGTGTGAAAGTGAGTGAGTGTGAAAGTGAGTGTGTGTGAAAGTGTGTGTGAAAGTATGTGTGTGAAAGTGAGTGAGTGTGAAAGTGAGTGTGTGTGAAAGTGTGTGTGAAAGTATGTGTGTGAAAGTGAGTGTGTGTGAAAGTGAGTGTGTGTGAAAGTGTGTGTGAAAGTATGTGTGTGAAAGTGAGTGAGTGTGAAAGTGAGTGCGTGTGTGTGCGGGAAGTGGTAGTGCAACTCATAGCGCGTTGCACTATGAACCCGGCGACCAGAATTTGATTCCCCCTCACGGTCACCACCGGTGACAATTATTTGAATCGGTCCTGGGCCTCCCCTCGCTAAAGACTCAGCCTCAAATGAGTACCTGGTGCGGTGCATAAACATCGCCACTGGGGAGACAAAGGCGGCCGGGCGTGATGCTGGCCACCCACCCCTCATGTACCGTGCCGGCCTGCATAGGTGCTCGCTAACAGCACTTGCCCCAACAGTCTGTTAAGATAACATGGGGGATCTTTGCATTTATGTGTGCACGCGTGCCCCGTGTGTGTGTGATTGTAGTGACTCATCGCGCCCCTTCCGACAAGCAAGCCACCATCAGGACTCAAGGTAAGTGAAAATAAAACGGACTTTTTTTCCTATATATGTTACTTCATTTATTGCTTTATTTACTATACAGTATTTTAAAGTGTTACATGCAAATGTACAATCTTTCTTCTTATTTATAAGTTTAACAATGCTTCCCTTTTTTGTAAATCCATAATACGTTCCATAACACTGACCGTAAGGTCATTTAAATACATTAAATTGTCTTCCGACTTACTAACCATTTGACTGACTAACGGGTCTCAGGAACGAATTATGTTCTTGCAAAGGGAAGCATAACTCTGCATTTGGCTGCTAACTGTGCCAATACAGGATTTGTGGGAATGATCACTAAAGGTGTGCCCTGTGGTTGAATCGTGCGATTCATAGTTTTGTAAATGTATTGCACTAGCTCAGTTAGCGCTGCCTAATGACGGCCTCTTCCAGTGCACAAGTTGTCCAAATGGGCATATATGAATATTAAGTCACTCGTGACCCTGTATACCTTTTCGATTTCAACGTTGTGCTGAATTCATTTACGTGAGCATTTGTTTAACAAACGTAAATGGAGCTACCCCAGGAAACCCCTCAACAATGACTCAAATAACACTCTCTCCTCAGGCACAGAGGCCTTGTAACAAAAGCCATGAAATTGAAATTTTAAATATGGTTAACATTAAATACAATGAAATGCTACAGTGTACTTTCCAGGAAGCATAAAACATTTTATATCACTTATATTATAAAGCACTCATTATTGTCAATGCATGCACACTAATGAAATTTTAAAAACAAGTTCCCAAGATTTTTGAAAAACTTTCTTCACTATTATTTACGGATAATTTGTTTAAAGGAAAATCAGCATAGAACCATAAAATAAATCAAGTATATGAATGTCAGAACCCTTTTCAGATCCCATGACAGTACGACTGCAGTTTTACAAAGAATTACTTTTAAGGGATCAGGGATATTTTATAACTCTTCATATGGAGCTTCACAAAGGTGTTCTTATTATCATTCACAAACTATTCAGTGTTGGAGCTTCAGCCTAGAGTTATAGACTTGTGTTTTTTTAGTATATCTGGTGGGCCCCTAGTTTGACTGGAGAGAACCTTACTGGAACAAAACTGAACATCTGACAACATGACACAAAAGTGTGAGGCTGTAGAACAGCGTCAATCTGGAATTCCCAGAGGCTGAAGCTATGTTTCAATGCTTGTGAGCAGTCTATAGTTTGTTGTGTTTCCTCGGGGTAGGATTAAAGAGAGCCTTTGCTTTATCAGAATGTGAGCTAGAATAGTTTCCCTCGGACTGATATAGCACAAGCTTCTGCCTTGGCCGTTGCATTCGTTTTCAAAAGGCACATTTTAGAAGCTCTACCATATGCCGTGTAATCTCCTTTTGGGCAGTCGTTGGTAACCAAGTTGAAACCATTTTTATTTACTACGAAACTTGAGAACCCAGAGTTTAATCACAGGCAGCTGCCCAGATTAAAACCCAGAATCTCAGCAGTGCCAGCTCAGTGCTCTAACCTCTGAGCCACCGCCCACAACGAGGCTTCCCATTTAATAATAATAAAAAAAGGTTTTTTTTCTTCATATTAGGAGTTGTATTTACATTGGATAGTGCGGACTGAGAATATCACCATAGGTAATATGAGGAACAAGTTGTGCAGCATTAAGTTTGAATATGAATGTCCAAATTAATTATATATATAAACATGTATTACTGTAATTATTATGAAACACGGAAAAACTGTTTGACAGAATGAGCATCAACAACGTTAACTACTTAAGTACACCGTATCCATTAAATGTCTTTATTGCGTAGTATTTAAGGCCTTGAAACCACACTTTTAGCCTCACAATGTGGAGCAGCTTGGCGGGATGCTGCCAAATTGTCTGCACGCCACAACTTTTCATTTTTAAATCGCTCCCGTGGGCCCCTCGGGGGAGTCATAACTCGCAGTGCTTACTCGCCGCAGATGTATGCAAAGCGAAGTAAAGCGCTGGGCGATTGGAAAATCAATAGCGATCGAACGCCCCCTGACAGCTCCCGCTCCATAAAGCGTGGCACGTCGGAAAGCTCTCTCTCCCCCACCAGCAAAGAGCTCCCGCACCAGCACAGAGCTCCCGCACCAGCAAAGAGCTCCCCCACCAGCAAAGAGCTCCAGCACCAGCAAAGAGCTCCCGCACCAGCAAAGAGCTCCCGCACCAGCACAGAGCTCCCGCACCAGCAAAGAGCTCCCCCCACCAGCAAAGAGCTCCCGCACCAGCAAACGTTTTGTTTTGCCGCCTCCCGCTCACCATCCAAAAATCTAAATCCTGGACACTGACAAATGTTGGTACAAGGAGCCACGGAAACACAAATAGGCGTGGAAATTGTTTCCGCTGTTCACAGTAATGTTTGCATATGCAATAATATATATACACATTTGGTACTATGACAGTCAGTCGTCTCAGAGAATAGACCCAGATGATGATGTTTAAGAATGACTTATTTATCTTATAAGGCCCTGGAAAGTGTGTCCATATAATGTAGAAGTAAATGTTTAATTCTCAGAGGTGGAATCTTCTTCACATGGCTGATGTTGATTTGGACCAATAACTATAATTTTACATTGAGGTGGTTGAGCTAGATATTTTGTATCAGTAGTATATCACCGTGATGCCTCCTTAATCTTTGTGAATCGGGCAGTCCATGTAAAGCTGGAATAAGTGACGTAAACAGATTTAAAATGATCAGGATGCGAACCCAGTTTAACAAAAATTATGGGTGGCTACCTAGATTCAAACTCAGGATCTAAGCGGTGCGAGCCCAGTTCTCTGAAATTGGCCGCCTGGCCAGCTGGCCCTTTCGCTGTTATGGATCGTTTTCAACAGTGGCGTCACATTTGGGCCGTGACATATTTTTCTTTAAGCACACATAAATTCCTCCATGCGTGGAATTCTTTTTGTTAGCATTATAGCTATATGTGCACGCGCGTGCCTCTGTGTGCGCACCTGTGAGTGCGCGTATAATGTGTATATAAAATGAAAAGTGCTATTGCCGGGCAAGCAATTACAAATACAGTAAAACCTGCGAAAGAAAGCACAAACACTTCGCTTCAGGGTCATTCCACTGTGCTCCCTCATACGACCACACTGGTCACACTGTCTTGCCAACATGCAGTTATTTTACATCCAAGGTCTTCGCTATTTCCTCGTTCCATTCACAAAACATTTGGCCTTCAATAAAGTTCATCACTGAGAGTATGGAAGGAGCCTCGGAATGTTTCCACACAAGCACTGAGAGTGCTTATTTCTGGTATTGAAAGTGCTTATTTCATAAAACGGACATGAGTTGGAACATTTTTTATCTCGATATTTTTTTTCTGTTTTGCAAATGCCAACGGCCATACATTTTAGATGCCTTTCGTGTCCTGGTTTGCTGTTATTCATTTGAATGTAGCACTTAAAGTGAAATGCATCGCTCTATTTTCCCATGTCCTTTCACTTGTACGAAAATGGTGGAAAGAATCAATGATTTTAAAATGTGTTTTTTTCACTCCTTTTTTAATATAAAAGTGATTCAGAAGTATACGATTTTTTAAACACTTATGAAATCGCACAAAGGAAGATATAAAATATATATGGTATGAAGTGATATTTCTTTCCAAATATCACTTGCAACAATTTTGGAAACCCGACAAAGAAAGATTTGTTCGTTGAAAACAGTGCAAATATTTAAGGTTGAGCAATATTTCACAAAACAAAACCGCAAGAGCGTTTATTTGTTCCATGCTTACCTGTGTCTGGTGTCATGCTGCCATCTTGGTCGCTGTCGTCCGACCTCGTTGCCATGAGCGACGACTCCTTGAGGTGCATTGGACTGTGCTCCGGTTCGTGCCTCTCGCCGGCCTGCAGAGCCGCGGCGTCGTGACCCTCGGCGGAGCCCGAGTGACCCCGAGCCGCGCAGCTTCTGTCCCCACCGGCCGCCAGGATCGTCAATTCCTGCTCGAGACGGCGTTCTGCCTCCGCCCGGCCCTCGCCGCTAATGCCGCCGCCACCGAACAGCGGGTCTCGTGCCTCCATGAGACAGCCCGCGAGCAGCGCTCGTCTCTCGGCTTCCATGGCCAGGGCAGCCGGGGCCTCGCCCTGCATGCCGAAGACGGCTCTCCTCTCGGCAGCTGCGAGCAGTGAGCTCTGGATTTCGGCGCCGGTGAGACTGCCGAAGATGCTCCGCCGCTCCCCGGGCTCGGAGGAGAGAAGCGAGGAGCCCAAGGGCAAGGCTTTCCTGCTCAGCTGCTGCTGCTGATGATGCTCAGAGATCATGGCATCCTGAAGACACAACACGTCGGAATGAACGCGCCCTGTAAAGCTTGCAAGGCCATATGTTGTAGTGTGTGCACTAGAATTCACGCAGCAGTAACGTTTATTAGTTGGTGAGTCCATGTATATTTGCGAAATACTGTATCAGATGTGTGACGAGAAATATTCGAATTTCCTTTACGCAACATTAATATAGTTTATGGAAAACAATTATAGGATACGTTGTATTATTTTACTTTTTAACAAGAGTGATGCACGGGTATTTAAAAAACCTGAATTCCCAAGATTGACATTGACAGTGGTAACGTCTTCTAAAAATGTAGATGCTTTATCTTACAGGGTCAATAATGGCATGAGGAATATGGCTTTTTTATTCTGTGAGCTTCCTCGTGGCAATGACCAACAAGTCCCGCATTGATAGATCAATCAAACTTTATTGCTTTGTGTCTCCTAGTAACTCACAAATACCACATAGAGCGGGACTTCTGACGTTAAGCTGTGTACATTGCAGATATATATTTTTCTGAGTATGAGAAAATAAAACCAACTGCTCAATAAATGTAATCTTCAAAAATGATAAGTTCTTAAGCTTATTAAACCCATTTTGATTTGCAATGAAAGGCATATATATTTTTTTATTAAACGTATTACAAAAACAAGATAATATATGTGTGGGTGTTTAAACAACGTTTATAATTGGTGTTGTGAATGAACATTCACTGTGGTACACACAGCTGTGATAGAAATGTATTATTAAGTAAAATATTACGTACATTATAAATGTTACATTCCTAATTGTCAATATGTCGTATCTGATTTATGTTTGTTCCCTGATTAAGTTCCTTTTTCTGTCTCTCGGTGTAATTCCAACTGTGTACTTATCCACACATATTTGTGCCCTCTTCATCTTTTGTTCCATTTTCTTTGGCAGTATCCCCATGTGTTTGACCTATACATCACAGCTAGCGGTACGCACTGATTGTACACTTTACGTTAATTAAAGTAAATAGGCTTGCCCAGGACACTTGATGATTCATGCATGAGACTTGGTGACAGAATGGCTGCGAAAATGAGAGACCGTTTGCAAGAAGATTACCATCGTGGAAATGAAGTGATAAGATTAGTTAATGTTCAAGAGTCCAATGGATGGTAACAGTAGAACTGAACTGAGGAATGGCAACGGCATGGTAACATCTTCCCTCTGATATTGGAAGCCACTGGAGCTATGCACTTTTAAATCGAGAATCAAAATTACTTCTTTAGAACTGCTTTTATGTTTAGTTTGTCCCTCCCCCGCACATCCGATTACCACGGTTGGCTATGTACGGTGCGAAAGAAGTTTGACATACAGTACGTACATAGGGGGGTCCTTTATCTGGTTGTGAATGGGAAAATAGCTAATGATGAATGTTACATTTCGAGTTAAAATAATACATTGTTAAAATACTACATTCATCTTGTGTATCAGTCTGCAACTCATACGAAATGGAACAATTTCAAGTACCGTAATTTTTTTTTATTATCCTTTTGGTTGTGATTGAATGTTCAGTTGAAAAAAAATCGGACTTGGGGGGGTACAAGAGTTGAGTTTTCAGGTAAAGTCACGAAGCAATGCTTCACACGAGTACATTTAGAGTCTATTCTTATAACGCAACAAAAATAGAAAAAAATAAACAGGTACACGTTGCCTGGAGCTCTGGATTATAGCATAGCAGGCAGCCTCCTCCACCTTACAGCACTGACAAGGACAAATGTTCGCAACACAGCACGATGCCTGTGGTTTATGGTTTTACGTGCGTACCGGCTAAGGTTGATTCTACATGCATTGCTCGCAGGTGAGTTGAATGCCCTTTTTTCTTGCTAATTCATTTATCTATATTTGCCTCGCTACATGAGGGGGGAGGGGGGATCAGTGGAAGAAGCGGTTAACACACCACGCATGAACTCAGCGACCTGACTTTGATTCCTAAGAACAGCAAACATCAGTGGTGAGTGAGAACCATCGCTTGGCCACATCCCTAACAACTAATCCGCGCTCACCAGCGTGGCCTAATGTCAAAGGTAGAGTGAGGCCTTCATTCAGCAGTCGATGGATAAAGGGGATGTGAATTTTAATGAGCATGTTTACACATTTTTTACTTTCTATGTAAGGAACGAGAACACAAAAGGATATGCTGATGGTGTGGGTGATAGAAGTAATGCGAACAGAGACAGAAAAGGGGAAATTAATTTCTCTGTAGCACTGAAAGTAATTTTTCTGCAGCACCTAAGCCCTGGCAGTAAACACTTTAGAAGTGATGGTTCTCTTATCATTAGGTACTATTTTCAACTGTGATTCGTGATAATATGATGCTCCTTTGGAAACCCTTTCAGCGTGCCACTCTGAGCTACCTACCAGCCTTTGATCCCAGGTCCACCGTCCTCCTGGAATGCCAGCACCCCCATCTCCCAGGGATGTGTAAGCCTGCATTCCGCCGTGTCACGCAATCACATCGTCTGCAAGTCACGAGCACGCTCTGCATCTGTGTTTCTCAGTTTGTCGGTGTCCTTTAACCAGCAGACGAAACACACCTTTCGCGAGACATATGGTGATGCTACATTGGCAGTGGCGCTCACGTACAGTTTACAAAAAAAAACTCAAAACGTCTGGCAATGCCCCTTCTTCATAGCACATAATTGATGTGCTATTTTACGTGCTTATGACAAAGGACCATTACCGGAACAAGCGTCACCTATTACATAGTTTTTTTTTTCATTTTAAGGCAATGCTACTGATGAAGGTGTTGAGCTTTTTGGTTTATTTAGACGTGTGAAACATTGCCTCTATTGTAACACCGACGTGGATCTTCAACTCTGGCCATCGCGAGTCACCCTGGAAACCCAGCCTCGCCCATCCCTCCCCCCGCCTTGCCCCCCTTAACTTGCATACGAGTAGAAAGATTACGAACAACGAAAAGTTGGGAGTGTGGCCGGTCGAAGGTTTAAGTTGAGCAATACCTGCACGGATGCATAGTCACGTGGTGTCCGTGTGCAACAACCGCATGGTTACATGCCTCTGTGGCATTTTTATTAATTACACAACTCATGCGATCAGAAAAATTTGAGAGAATAGTAGTTTTCCCTGTGGGATTGCCAATGTTAACAATTCATCCTTTCGGGAAATGGTACGTAATTTTGAAGTGTATTTTAGTCAGTATTTTTTATTTCTCCAATTTAGTTTTACTGACATTTTGCTCCTAGACATATAAAAATTCAGTTTAACCAAAGTACGTTGAGAAAATGCAATGCAATTGCAACTGAAATTTTATTTTAAAATCTTCTAATAAAAGAAAAACTGAACATTACCATATAAAATCAGTAAAATGACCACAATTAGTTACTGTATTTCTACAGCATAGCACATGGTAGCTATACTGTATATCCTTAATTCAGATCATCTGGTATTTGATGAAATCTTGAATTCGCAAGACGGTATCACTTGGCATATGTAGACTGCAGTGGATAACCACTAATTGGCATGCAGTTTAGTCCCCACACTTGACCAAGAATAAGTAATGTGCATCGTGATGTTTGTGTCGTACCTACCATGGGTATTACCAGTCAGCCGTGGCCTCATCAACTACCTCCCAAACCGACAAGCTGAAGATTAAACAAAGAAAAACAAAATATATATCAATGAAGGCATAAATGTACATCATTCTAGAAATTCACATTGAAACCAACAAATTGTCACGCTGCATTATCATGCGCTCACAACGTATGCATTTAAAAAAAGATTTAAGGTGGCTTTCCGATATTTTTATGGGTTGTATTCACTGAGAGATATTCAGCGCGAAGTCCGACGTTTCCCTCCATGTGCTGGGAACTTCTTCAGGAAATGGATTGGAAGCTACCAGCACGTGAACCGTGCTGGTAGCTTCGCGTGGAGCAACCCGAAAACACAGCGGAAAGCCATCCAGCAGAACCACATAAACCTACATGGTAGTAATATTCATGGATATTTATCACACGCACTGAAAATGCACGGTATATAAAATATATTGATCAATTATGATTAATTGTTGATATATGTATTTACAGAAAAAATGCCAGTGCTTTCGATGCCTGCAACGCTTACATCCCTAATGGTGCTGTCTCATTCTGTTTGTCGAGAGCAGAGCCCAATGACTTCACCGGCAGCTCATTCTGCCCCCTTAAACATCTCCCTCACCACTGAGCCGAAAAGAGCAGAGATTACATCACAGACGCGCTCAGGTAAAGCGACCGAATAACGGGAGTCGCTGGTTGATTCAATTCATGGACGACGCAGAAGAGAGAGAGAAAGATGATGCACACACAGACCACGAAACTTTCCAACCCTCCTAGCTCAGTCGATGAAGGCCGTCTTGCTGCCGGATTTTGAAGCCTCCTGACAACGTCACTTCGTCTGTATGAAGAAAATCAATGGGTTCTTCTCCTGCTTGAATAAGTTATGCACTCGCCTCTGCTACTCTGCATTAATTTTTGCAAAGCCCTCCTTCTCCCTCTCACGTTATTTGCCACGCCATTTTGTAATTGGGCGAGACAGTATAAGTATATTAGGGATAATGCACCTTGCCTGAGCTAAAGTGGGGCTGGCAGCTGAAAGGTTACTCGAAGGATCAATACCGCTGCTGTGACAAGACTCTCATGTGCATCCATACCCTTGCGTCTTCCCGTGCAATTAAAGGACGCTCACATACACGAGACACTCAGCCTGTAGACGGTCAACCAGTTTGCGAATGTACGCTATTTCTTTTCAGGCGTGCTTTTGCTGGGAGGAATGATTAAACAAGGTAAATTACAATACGAGGAGAAATATGGTTGAAAAGTGATTCGTTTTAACTGCTTATGAAGTCTGAAAAGATGTCGATAATCTGTAAATTAATATTCAGCTCGATGTTATGACAGTACCGTAATAGACATTTCAGCCACTTACCATTATGTTCAATAGATGTATTTATTGTCTGGGTACAGCAAAGAAAACTATAAAGTTTTTTAAAAATTCTAATTACCACTATTTAAAACAAAGGCAGTTTTAAATATTGTTGATTTATATACTTTAAAATGACTGCGTAGAGGTTCAAATGTTGTACTATTTAGTTATTTTAAGCAGTTGTCTTTTTTATCATATCTCGTGGTTTACTTGAATCACACATTTCTTCAGTGGAAATAAAAAAATCACAAAAAGATGATTTACATTTCGAATGTAGTGACATTGGGGACGTCACTGTGCAATGCCGGCCCGAGAGAGGCACGGCGTGCGATGTACTCACATCGCGGACCCCCCGTGTATGTGGGTGTAGTACCGGCCCTGGAGGGGCTTGGTGAGCGCTGATGGATAGCGCTGAGTGGCACCACGTTCGGCGTGCAGTGCCGACCCCTACAGGATGGGGTGTGAGAGTGTCAGCCATGAGATGGGGTTACTATAGGCCGTGACACTCTGGTTGACCCCGGAGGACACGTGACTGGTAAAGTCTACACAGGGCCCCCCAAGTGGGGGCTAAGGGTGGTCACGTGTCGGAGGGGGATCCTGCTGGAGGATTCGAGAAGGTGGTCGTGGCCAAGGGCGGAGCCAGCCACGACCAGTGAGGATATAAGCCGGGTCCCCAGAGGGACCGGGGTTCAGCGTTGTTGTTGTCATCCTGAAGAATCTACATTCGATGTCCGAGAAGAGTCGCCAACACGTGGACCTGGACCCAAGCTGGGGTCCTGTCCGTTGTATCTACTCCCAGTGTAATTAGTGTAGTTAGCCTGGTGGTCCACCGCCATAGGTTGTTACCCCTATGTGTTGGTATCAATAAATGTGTTGCCTCCAAAGAGTGCGTCTGCGACTCAGTTGAACTCACTACAACTGGTGTCGGAAGTGGCCAAACGCTAATTTACTTAGCTAGCCGTTTAGACTATGTCTACGCGACGCAGACTACGTACCAGGATGTCGGACGATGAAGATGAAGATCTCATCCCTCAAACAGTCCTGGGGATGGCGACCCCGGAGGATGGAGGCGAAGCGCTGTCGGCAGAGCAGAGCACCGACCGGGCATGTGACAGCTCACTGCCGGCGGGAAGGAAGCTCCAGACAGCACACGCCTGCCTCGCAGAGCTACTCCAAGCCGTGGCATCCATCCTCGCGGAGCTCCACCCCGCGGAGCCAGCGATGGAAAAAGGAGCAACGGAGCCGAACAGGGACGATGTTCCCACCGCTATTTCCCGGCAAGCGGGAACTTTTGTGGCGCTTGCGGCCGCCATATTCTCAGAAGAGCGGAGTGCGTGGCCCACCAAATCCGAAGCTGCGTCGAAATCACCGGTGGACGTTCCATCTCTCCGGCGACGACGCCCCTTCGTGAAATAATTTACGGTCGCCGGAGGCGACTGGGTGGCTTTCAAGCGGCGGTTCCTGACGAACGCCGAATTGGCGGGGTGGACGGAGGCGGAGGCACTGAGAGCACTAACCGCCGCCATTGATGACGACACCCTGGCGGCGTTTCTCATCATCCCGCCGTCGGAGAGGGCCACACTGACTCAAGCCTTTGACCAAATGGCGGCAATTTACGAGCCGCCGTCGAACGTGTGCCACAAGTTCGCTACGTGTAAGAAAGGGGAAGCCGAGACGCCCCTCACCTTCCGTAGCACACTTTTGGCGCTAGCGAAGGCTGCTTTTCCAAGGATGGACCACGACGAAGTCAACTCGCTGGTCCTCGAGAGATTGTTGGCTTTGGCTAAGGACCCCAACATCGTCTTGCCGGCTGTAGACGATAATCTTTCGTCTATCAAGGTTGCAAGATGCATCCAGGCTCAACCGCTCTTGCAACGGCACAAGGGGTTGGTGGCGTGTACCGCGCCCCGTGAGCGGCCGGATACACCTGAAGACGTGGAGCCCGTCCCAGCCTGCGCGTCAACCCAGAGCGGAGGCGGGCAAGGGGACGGTATGGTGCGACGGGCGGAAGACCAGTGACAGCAGAAGACATTTCCTCATCCGGGGAACAGCCCTGTCGTGTGCTGCAGCTGCGGCCTGCCGGGGCATGCCTCGTCACACGCCAGGAACTATTAGCTATTGTGGTTTTTGTGCAACAGTATCGCCTCTATTTGTATTGTAGACGCTTTGAGGTGTGCTCTGACCATGCAGCGCTACAGTACACGCTGCATGTTGAACAGCTGTCTGGCCAACTTTCACGCTAGTTGGAGGTCCTCCAGGACTACTCCTTTGTTACCTATCTCAAAGGCTCCTGACACACGAACACTGACGCCCTGTCGCGATTACCAACGAATGGTGGGTGCGCATGTTTTTCGGGCTCTGGGCACTGTAAGCCGCCCAATGAGCACTCGACCCCTCCTCTTGCGGCATCGGCCGAGGTTGTAACACATGAGGTGGCCGAGGGTCCGATGGCGCGTTACGCCATCATTTGGTAGGACCACGAAGAATGGGGGCGCCTCCAGGTTGAGGATGCTTCCCTGCTTAAATTGCGACGCCGTGTCAGAGAGACTGATGGGGGCGGGGATCAATGGGGTGTCGCCTTTGTCATTCTTCGGGGTGGATTGCTCATGCATTGGGATGGAGGGTTGCGCCGTTATAACATTGTTGTGCCCACTGCCCTGTGGGGTAAGGTCATTTGGGCAGTACACGAGCGCCTGTTGCACCTGGGTGTGCATAAGACGTAGGCCACACTAAAGATGGACTTCCTTCTGGCCTGGCGTGGCTGAGGATGTCGCTAATTTGTTGAAGGGGTGTGTGCAGTGCACGCGGCGGAAGCCACTGGCGAAACCCTGTTGTCCACCGTTGCAATCGATTCAGGTTTCCCGCGTAAATGAACTAATTGCTCTGGACATCCTTGGTCCATTTCCCACTACCCCTCGTGGGAATAAGTATTTGCTAGTGGGAGTCGAGTATTTTTCACGATGGCCTGTGGCCTGGCCGCTCCCCAACCAGTCGGCGGTGACGATCACTGAGGCATTCCTCAATGGCTATGATGGACAAGGGTGCTCCCAGACGTCTTATGACCGATAAGGGCAATATTTTTTCTTCTAAATTATTGCGCGAGGTGTGCGATTTGTTGGGAACAAGGAAAGTACGCATGTCACCATACCACCCGCAGATGGATGGCATAGTTGAGCGGCTGCACAGGACTCCATGTTGAGCCATCAGGTCAGCGAGTCCCAACTCGACTGGGATTTGCATATTTCCGGAGTCCTATCTGCACATAGGATGGCCCATCACGCATACACCGGTTTCTCACCGTTTTTTTATGTACAGAAGAGAACACGACCCCCTGATTGATGTTTAGTTATGCGCTCCGTGCGCCTTACCCATCACAAGCTTTCCGAAGCGCGGGAAGCTTCCAGGTTAAATTCCAATTCGCGCTAATTGGCAATTGAGCGGCTGAGGGGTTTCTGTGCTTCTGCACATAAGTGGGTGCCTGGGGACAGAGTCTGGTTGCACTGTCCACAGGTATTGGTGGGTATGTCGCCAAAATGGTACAAACCCTGGAGAGGGCTGGTTGATGTGATTCGGGTCGTTCGACCACAGTGTGTCCAGATTTGCTTGGGGCGGCGGAGTTGGTTTGTACATCCCTCACGCCTCAAGCCTTTCATCGCTCCTCTTGAGTTCGTTCCATCTCCACACT